ATGGTTATTTTACTGCCTGTGGATTCCCAGGTGATGCTACACCAGCCCTAATTTATGAAGGCATTTCTCGCTGGTTAGTTATTTAATGACATTAGGCTAATATTTCTCAGCCTTGTTGAAAAGAGAAAATTTTCTTTTGCTTGCCTGCTCTTGTTTTGGGTTATTTCCCTGCCTCTGAAGGGGCAGCAGCTCCACCCTCAAGTCAGAGGGTTGCCTGTGTTTGCACTGCTGCCCTGCCTTGGGGGAGATGAATTGCCACCGAGGAAACTGGTAAACAGTTGTTGGTAAACAGTTTTAAGTCTCGTCTAAACATCTGCAGCCGGTAATTAGTCTTTTCTTACTCAGGCAACTGGGGTGGGGGGGAGGGGGGGGAGCTGAGCTGCTGCCAGCTCATGGTTGAACTGCTGACTGCTGTGTCTGATGCTTTATGGCTCCTTGAGGGTTCTGTTGCACAGTTTGAGAAACCAGCCCTGTCCTGGAGGTAGAAACCAGGTATGGGGTGTCTAAGACATATGAGACACGTCAGAAAGAATGCAGGCAGCGTGGGGGGATGAAAAGGAAAAACTAAAAGGCAAGCGGAGATGAAGTCAAGTGAGTCTGGCAGTGGAAAGGAGATGAGAGCAGGAGAGGACAGAACCAAGGAGAATTTGGAGAGCAAGTAAATATAATGACCAAGGAGCTGCTTAGTCAGCAGAGTGAAAATGGCCTGTGTTCATTTTTGCATAAGCGTGGGGTGATGGAAATTTTAGGGCCTGTCTTTTGCTCCACCACTGTTGTGCTCTGCTGTTTTGGAAACTTCGTAGGTATGATTCCATCAGCTCGTGAACATATTTTAAGATTTGATATTATTTAAGTAGCAACACTGGTTGACTTTATGGTTTTAAAAATACAGATTATTTAGACCAGGGTCTAATACAGTTTGGGTCAGTGCACAGTATTGACTTGAATAAAAGGAGGGGAGGGGAATTCCCTCCCTCCTCCCCTTTAATAATCATGAATTAGAAACCTTTCTGCAAAGCTGTCTTCCCCCCCACACCTTCCCTCCTGTTTTTGATTTTCTGTCTTTATTTCCTTATAGTGTGCCCGAAAATTCTAATTTAGTTTGGTAAAATAATACCCTCTAACAAGAGGGCAAGTAAGCTGGGAGAGAGATGCAAAAAGTGTCATTGATTCTGATACAATTACAAAATCTGTTGGTGCTCTGGAACACCTCATACTTCTTGTTCTGGTTTGAGTGTTACTGCCTTTCAGTAGTTAAACTGTGAAGCCCCAAACAACAGGTGATGATGCTACTAATGCCCAAAGGGATTATTGTTGAATGCATGCAAATATTGCTCTGCAGCTCCACAGGCAGAGAGGGCTTTGTTTCAAGATTGTTCATTCATGGTTATTACAGGACTAAGAGTTTATAAAAATAAGAGGTCCATTTCTCTTTCGGGCAAATGGACACACACCCCCTCCCCTCCCTTACCATTAATAGGAATTGTGCCCTCTTTACAGCTGAGATTATTTTGGTCGGATGGATGTGACTTGTTGGAGGGGGCAAATAGTAAAAAGACGCTCTAGTTGAGATTTGGTGTCTCATTGTCATCTTTCAGTATTGCAGATGTTTAGCAGTAGAATTCTAAGTCAGGCATGAAAAGAGTTTGGACAATTTGTAGAGTGCATTTGCAGGTGAGAAAGCCTCTTTCCCGGGGTACACCCTCTGTATTGTCTTTCCACCCCACCTTGTTTTTGTTGGTTGGTATGAGCTGAAGCGCCTGCAGTGGCAAATCACCTGTCAGGTGCTGAGCAGGTGGTTCCACTGGTGTTTTACCCCAGTGTACTCCCAGCATTGCTAAGTGCACTGGCAACTAATAAAAGACGGCACGTGTATACTTGCCTGTGACTTCACAAACACTATTTACAGCTGTAGAGAGTGATGGGGATAACTAATTAGCTATAGGGTATGTGAGTGCTGCAGTAAAGAGAGCTCTGTATAGACAAGGAACCTCATTTCACCAGCTATTAAGGAAACACTTGAACCCAGTAGGACACCAACTCACTTACCAAGCCAACCCACCCTGCAGCACAACAGTCCTTGCTGAAAAACTGGAGCCCAAATGTCTCTGTCGTTGCAAAGCTGAGCTCGTGTAGATGGAAGCTGGTGATATGTACGTGATCATTATACTGTGTCAAGTCTCATTTTGAAGACCATAAGTATACCTTTTTAAAAGAAAAACAAACTACTTCACCGGCCTAGAGAGAAACATAAATCATATATTTTCGTCACCTCAAAAGACCACTAAAAAGATGAGCTTTAATATTTCAAATGCGACAAGCAATCTCTAGACATGAATCACAATTTGAGTTCCATTACAGCTGGGCTGATATATACCACCCTGTGCTTTATGGATTTTACTCTAACAATATTAAGTAAAAACCCAAAGCCTTTTGTGATGAATACCTAACCTTTTACAAGAATTTGTAGAATTGAGGTCCAGAACAATTTTAGCGTCGCCCTGCAAGCTTTAATAAGAAAATTACGTTGCCAGTTTTGATCTCTTAATATTGCTCTCTGTAAAGAAAAGGTGTGTATTAGTAGAAGGCTGATGTTGCAAAGATAAAACAAAATGTGAAATGCTGAAAGGGTTTATGGAAAATGCGCCACAAGAAATGAGCAAAGAGTGAAGGGTTGGTTCTTTTGTTACTTCTGCTTCCTTTGTTAGGCCTGGGCTTTTTCTTCCTGGACTCTAGAACTTCTGCAGCAACCCAGTGCCAGCTTTTCTCAGTTCCTCTATTTATAGTCAAGTCACCACTTGAAGTCCTTAGTCTCCTTTTCAGATATTCTCCCATGGCAATATTTTCATATAGGTTGTGAATTTTCTTTTTATCTCTGGGTATTTTTGTATCTTTTGTTACAGCAATCTGGGCCTTTCTTGCAATGAATCAAAGTTCAAATTCCTTCACCTTTGAGACTTTTAATCCTCTCTCTTCTCCTTGGGGGAAGAAAGAGAGGTGCAGTCCAATGAATTCAGTGAGGAAGCTGGAGATGAAGGGTAGTGCACAAGGTTAATTTTCAGGTGAATTGGTTGCTGTTTTGACATTCTTGCTTTCTTTACAGACATCTTTTATTCCCTTTCCTTTTATGCTAGAAAATTATTAGATATGCAAGAACAAAACGCCTCAAAGCTGTGCTCCAAAAGCCTATTAAAAATAGTCTGCAAGCAGAACAGTGTGAACACACATCAACACCTGAGTGTTTCCCAAGTGGCTTGAGCGCTCAGTGGTGTGATAACAAGGCATGTGGGAGGATTTTTTTTTTGTGGCTTTTATCTTTCATATATTGATGCTCCCAACTTTTTAAAATTCATTTAATCAAGTGGCACTGCAACTGAAACAACAGAAATGCAGGAACGAGTTAGTTTAAGGTGTTTGCAGTGATACACAAAGTATTTTGCCTCCAGGCCATCACTTCTGATTCATCCTGGGTTGGCAGCAGTCAGAAATCACTGCCAACTGACAGCTGTTTGCTGGCCAACATGAAGCAATTTAGCTAGTAATTCGTGCTGGACAGATGTCTGTCGTGTGGGGAGTGTGAGTGCAGCTGGCATGTGTTTCATTTTCAGAGACTCGAAAACGTGGGTGTGTCTCAACTGCAGCCACTTCAGGGTGAGGAAGGGTAGGCAGGATAGCAGAATTTAGCTAACCAAGAACTCAGCATGTGCACAGTTAAACTCCCTCAGCTCCTGGGGCCGAGTGCTGATGGTGCTAATGCCTTGCAGCGCTTCCACTGCGTCTCCATAAGGAGAGAGGGAGAAGGGAGTCTGGAGCTTGAGTAGAAACTGCACTGTGGGGTGACCAACTCGCTGATGCTCCAGCCTAGGAGGTTCTTCAGCTGTGTTGTCAATTGATACCTTTCCTGAGTGTGAGCAATCAATACCAAAAAGAAAGTAATAGGGAGAGGGAAAAAAAAAAAAAAGAGTCTGATTCATCTTTCTTTGTGTGGACGTATATAACACTAGAATTAATACTTTGAAAACCATGAATTACTTCATGTAAAATCTTGTGCTGCTAAGCAGAAAATCCATCCTGCTGAGAGAAAAATAAAGGAAATTCTTCGGAGTAATGTCTGGTTCTGTGAGGAAGGAAGGTGGTGGGGGGGGAAGATTTTACAGTTTACAATATCACAGAGCTTTGAGATATTTAAATGGGCAAGTAAATGATAGGTTTGAGTCACTATTGTGAAAACAGTTTTGAATTTTGGATTTGCAGCAGCAATAGAGATTGCTTAAGCAGAGATGTGGGGTCAAGTTTTTGCTGCTCCTTAGTCATCTCTTTTTTTTTTTTTTCTTTTGACATGATGCAAAGCAGGCATAAAATGGGCTTAGGTGACTAATTCTGCTTGTGTGAGATGTGGAAGTGGCACAGAGGCCTGTCCAGTAACTCCTGCACAGAAACTCCTGTGTTTCAGGGACAGGGCACTGTCAGAATACTTGGGTTAATCCAGAGGTCTGGAGCACTCACTGTCCAACTCCCAGTTGAATCTGCTACTGCATTGTCCTGACAAACATTGTCATGTCATATCTGACCAGCACTGCAACTGATCCCACCCTGTACAGAGTTACTATGCCTTTAGGACTTGGGATTTTCAGTATTGCACACTTCTGACACTATTCTATGCATTTGAAAACTGCATCAGTTTTTGTGTTTTTTTTTTTTTTTTTAAAGTTGTAGGAAAAAATCCAAATGGATGCCTTACTTTTCCAGAGTTTAAAAAAAAAAAAAAATAGTGTTTCAAGAAGAACAGTGGGAAGGAACCCATTGCTATGACACTGGTGTTTTAGCTCTACTTTAAGGAATATTTTTTACTGAATTTTCCCTGTTCCTTAATGCTGGTGTGTTTACCCAGACCGCCTTTGGACTTATAAATGGAGTTTATTTTCTCCAAAGTGCTTTCACTGACTGTAACCTGTTTTGTTTTTTTGTTTTTTTGTTTTTTTGGTGGTTCTTCCCCGCAGATATTGACGAGTGTGCCGCCAAGATGCATTACTGTCACGCCAACACCGTGTGCGTTAACTTGCCCGGATCCTATCGCTGTGACTGCGTCGCTGGCTATGTCCGTGTGGATGATTTCTCCTGCACAGGTGAGCTCTCAGGTGCAGCAGCAGCTCTGTTGTGCTCCAGGTTTCTGTTACTGAGCTTCTGGGTAGTCCCCGTTCCGTACCAAGCGCCACGAACCGGCCGGCCCTTTGCTGGCGTAAAATTTCGGCACGGGCGGAGTAGATAAATGTGGTAAGAGGTAACTGTTCCTGTGTGTGAGCCCTTTGGAATTCACTTGGAAGTCCTGCACTTGGCCACAACAACCCCCTGCAGCACTACAGGCTGGGCACAGAGTGGCTGGAGAGCAGCCAGGCAGAAAGGGACCTGGGGGTGCTGATCGACAGGAGGCTGAACATGAGCCAGCAGTGTGCCCAGGTTGCCAAGAAGGCCAATGGCATCCTGGCCTGCACCAAGAACAGTGTGGCCAGCAGGAGCAGGGAAGTGATCCTTCCCCTGTACTCTGCGTTGGTGAGGCCACACCTTGAGTATTGTGTTCAGCTCTGGGCCCCTCAGTTCAGGAAGGACATTGAGGTGCTGGAGCGGGTCCAGAGAAGAGCAACGAGGCTGGTGAAGGGACTTGAGCACAAGTCCTATGAGGAGAGGCTGAGGG